CAGAGGGAAATGTGAGTGTGGTAGTCAAAGTAGTCTGAAGTAGTCAAAGAAGGCCTCTAGAAGGCAGTGGGGGCAGGAGCCGTCCTCACAGTATGGGGACGACTTGGACAGAGTGGAAAAGAGTCAAGATTGTGAGAATAAGAAGTTTCCATTTGGGGCACAGATAATCCGTGCCTGACTGGAAGAGTTGCTGGGAGGATTTTAAAAGAATTTGTTCATTGGGCGTGGTGGCTCGCACCTGTAATCCCAGCACTTTGAGAGGCTGAGGAAAGCGGATCCCCTGAGGTCAGGAGTTCAAGACGAGCCTGACCAACATGGAGAAATCCTGTTTCTACTAAAAATGCAAAACTAGCCGGGAGTAGTGGCGCATGCCTATAATCCCAGCTACTTGGGAGGCAGCGGCAGGAGAATTGCTTGAACCTGGGAGGTGGTGGTTTCGGTGAGCCGAGATCGCGCCATTGCACTCCAGCCTGGAGACAGAGCGAGACTCTGTCTCAATAAATAAATAAATAAATAAATACAAATAAAAAATAAAATAAAAGAATTGGTTCTTGGCACATAATAGGCACTTGATAATAGATAGCTAACAATATTTCTTATACTGGGGGAATAGCTGGAGATAGAACTGTGTAAAACTCTCTTGAATTCAGCCCGCCTTCCACATCCCTGTGTTTCCTACAACTTTACTACCCTTTGCCCTTTTTCCTTTCTTGGGTTGTCCTCTAACACTTCCAGTAGAGCACCTTCAAATGTGACTTTCTAGGTTATCTCAGGGGAGAAAGGGAATTGGGCTATGCTATTTCACAAGTCCATCTAGGGTTCATTATGGGTTTTTTACATTTGTGATTTATTATGAGTTTTTATTATTTTTATGGATTTTATCAATCTCATCCATGTGGATACTACAAAGGTCCAGAAGGGGGCAATGTGACACTTGGATTTAAGAGGTTTTTTTTCCACAAATGTTTTGGAATTCATCCCATATTGTCTAATCCACGATTTCAGAAGGGCAGGGCTGGAATGATCTGTAAACATCATAGGGTCCAACACTCTCACTTGCCAGTAAAGATACTGAACCCAGAGAGTGGAAAAGACTGGCTCAAGGTCACAAAGACATTTTGTGGGAAAGCTGAGACTGTAATCTTGTTCTGACCCTGAGTCTGTATTACTCCATGACCTCACTTGGTTGTTTAATTTGGGGAAATCTCCCTCAAAAGCAGAGATTCTTAAAACTGTGTCATCTACTGATAACTTTTAAAGGACTAAAATTCTCATAACTCCTTGGTTGAGACCTTTTTTTTTTTTTCTTGACTCCAGTCACCCAGGCTGGAGTGCAGTGGCACAATCTTGGCTCACTGCAACTTCCGCCTCCTGGGTTCATGCCATTCTCCTGCCTCAGCCTCCTGAGTAGCTGAGACTACAGGTGCCCGCCACCACACCCAGCTAATTTTTTGTAGTTTTAGTAGAGACAGAGTTTTACTATATTAGCCAGGATGGCCTCGACCTCCTGACCTTGTGATCCACCCACTTTGGCCTCCCAAAGTCCTGGGATTACAGGCGTGAGCCACCATGCCAGGCCGAGACCTATTTTATTATAAATAAATATAAACAAAAATTTTACGTTAAAGATACTCAAAATGTACAAATATAAAACTCCAATTTAAATGTATTTTTCCAACCAGGTGCTGTGGCTAACTCCGGTAATCCCAGCACTTTGGGAGGCCGCAGCAGGCAGATTACTTGAGCCCAAGAGTTCAAGACCAGCCTGGCCAAAATGGCAAAACCCTGTCTCTACTAAAAAAAACCCCAAAATCAGCTAAATGTGGCAGAGCGCATCTTTGGTCCCAGATACTTGGAAGGCTGAGGTGGGAGGCTCTCTTGAGACCAGGAAGTGGAGGGTGCAGTGAACTGAGATCATTCCACTGTACTCCAGCCTGGGTGACAGAATGAGACCCTGTCTCAAAAATAATTAATTAATTAATTAACTTTATTTTCCTTAAAGCTTGTATACATATAAAGCAAAACAAATTTTACTGAGTTAGGTACAAAAAAAAACCTTCAAACCAATGAAATTTAGATTAACAGTATTACACGAAAGTGTAGATGATATTGTTTTGTTGAAATTAATTTGCTACTCACAAGTGAATGTAGTACTTTTTAAAACAATGACACACTTACTTGCTTCACCTTAGTTTCTTTAACATGACCAGTCCTCAACAAAGATTCTTGGGCCGGTTGTGGTGGCTCATGCCTGTAATTTCAGCACTTTGGGAGGCCGAGGCAGGTGAATCACCTGAGGTCAGGAGTTCAAGGCTAGCCTGGCCAGCATGGAGAAACCCTGTCTCTACAAAAATTAGCTGGGCGTGGTGGCGGGAGCCTGTAATCCCAGCTATGCGGGAGGCTGAGGCAGGAGAATCACTTGAACTGGGAGGTGGAGGTTGCAGTGAGCTGAGATCGTGCCATTGCACTCCAACCTGGGCTACAAGAGCAAAACTCCATCTCAAAAAAAAAAAAAAAAAAAAAGATTCCTTAATTTAATTTGCCTGAAGGTATAAATAATTGGAAATATTTTGATGTATCAGAAAACTAAAATCAGGACTCTGTCATTGGTCCACTGTACTTTATATCTACCTATCTAAATCTCTATAGGCTATACAGATAGATGTAGACAAGACAGATAAAATTTGTCTCTATTTATACATATTTATCAATATCAACCTATATCTGTATCTTTTTTTTCTTTTTTAAACTTTAGCCTTTTTTTTTTTTGAGATGGAGTCTTGCTCTGTTGCCCAGGCTGGAGTGCAGTGGCACAATCTCAGCTTACCGCAACCTCTGCCTCCTGGGTTCAAGTGATTCTTCTGCCTCAGCCTCCCAAGTAGCTGGGACTACAGGCTTATGCCACCATGCCCAACTAATTTTTGTATTTTTAGTTGAGACAGAGTTTCACTATGTTGGCCAGGGTCTCGAACTCCTGACCTCGTGATTCACCCGCCTTGGTCTCCCAAAGTGCTGGGATTACAGGCGTGAGCCACTGTGCCCAGCCTAATTTTAGCCTTTTTTTTCTTTTTTTTTTTTTTAAAGAATGAGTACTTCCCTTGAAATATCTCTATCTTTACCTGTAGATAAACATGTACTGATTACATATAAATTTCAAGTTATAAAACTAATTATACATGTTATAAAACATTCAAACAACCCAGAAACAAATGGAGTAAGAAATGAAAGCCCTCTTGCACAGACATTAGGTTGCCATAACAAAGGTTGAAACAAGAAAGGCTTAAAGAAGATAGAATCATATCTCTCAGGTCATAATATGCAAGGTAGCAATCCTGGGTTGATCTGATGACTGTGTAGCGATGAGTTTAGGCTCTTTCTCTGTGGCTCTGCAATTCTCAGCACATGGCTTCCATCTTGGTCCAAGGTGGCTGTTTCCATTTACCCCACTGTGTCCACATTCTAGCTAGCAAGAAGATGGGAAGAAGGAAGGGGCGGGAGGTCATGCTTCTTTTTTTAAGGTCACAACATGGAAGTCACATATGTCACTTCTGCTCACAGCCCATGACTGGAACTCAGATACATGGCCAAACTAAGCTATAGCCAAAACTGGGAAATACAGTCCTCAGTTGCATAGCAATGTGCCCAGCTAAAACTTCTCTGTTACAGAATAGTGGTTTTCAAATTTGGCTGCACAACAGAATCACCTGGAAAACTTAAACAAATAGACACCTCCCACTCCACAGGCCAATTCAATCGCAATATTTGGGGAGCAGGGCCTAGACTTCTGCATTTTTTGAAGGCTGTCTGGTGATTTTCATGTAGGTTAAGGCTGAGAACCACTGCTATAGAAGAAAGAACAGATGAACGGGGGACAACTAACAACCCCTATCACACTCATTTTCACTCCTCCAAAATTCTGTACCTCACACTCCCTCCCCATTTGTCACCCACTAGTTCAACCTACATTTTGCCAGAGCTTTTTTTTGGTGCATGTACAAGTACACACTACATACATATGCACATGGTCTGTCCTGACACCCAGGAGTGACTCCAGCTTTTCTATATGGGTGTGTCTTGGAATAGTAATATTACAAGAAGAGGCATGAGCCTCTGTATTTGCATGGCACTTTACACTAATAAAAAAATATATTGTTTTCTTGGCTGGTTGCTGTGGCTCACACCTATAATCCCAGCACTTTGAGAGCCTGAGGCAGGGGGATCACTTGAGCTCAGGAGTTCAACACCAGCCTGGGCGACATAGTGAGACCCCATCTCTACAAAAATAAAAAATTAGCTGGGCATGTTGGCACAAGTTTGTTGTTCCAGCTACTCAGGAGACTGAGTTAGGTGGATTGCTTGGGTCCAGGATTTCAAGGCTGCAGTGAGCCATCCTCTCATTACTGCAGTCCAGCCTGAGTGACAGAGTGAAACTCTGTTTCTCTCTTTATCTATCTATATCTATATATCTATATTTATACATATATAATTTTCTTATCTATATCAAAGAATGAGGGCTAATGAAGAATTTGTGGTGGTGCGAGAGCTAAAGCCGTCTCTTGGTTTAGCCCCGACAAGCGTCATAATATTGAATCATTTACCTTTTCCCAGTGGTCTGAAATGCCATCTTTATTACATATTAAATTTCCATATATATGAAGATTTTAAAAAAGTATTATTTATTCTGTTAGTTCAGATTGTTACTGCATATTTGTTCACTTTTTAAAAATATTTATTATTATTATTATTATTTTTAAAGACAGGGAATACTTTATTCAAAACCCATCACAGAAATGGACAGTTTGGGTCTGCAAAAGCAGCCACGTTTTAAAGCTTAGGTCAGTAATTGTATATTAGAGCATACACTGCTACATACAAATTAACTGATCAGACCACAACTTTTCAATGTTTAAAACAGAATAAGCTTCCCTGTAAAAGCAGCACCTTTGTGACGTTTTTACTTTAGTATTCCTCTCTTTCTTCCTCACCTTCTCCTTCAACAGGATCCACACCAACCTCCTTATAATCCTTCTCAAGGGCAGTCATGTCCTCACTGGGTGGTGAGGATGGAGTTGTAGGACTCAACTACAGCTGTGGAAACCTGGGGTGCTGAGTTAATGGAGAACTCCAGCTTGGACTTCTTGCCATCATCAATTGGGAGTTGTTCCATGAGCAGGGAGGTGAACCCAGAAACAATTCCTTCACCAGAGCTGTGGAAAACCAAGAAGCCCTGGAGAACCATGCACTGGTCAGCCAGTTTACAAATTTGGTCCAAAACGAGGTCAGTGATCTCCTGGCCAATGGCATAGTTACTGGCAGCATCTTCTTTGCCTGTGATGAGCTGCTCAGGGTGGGAGAGCTGGTGGCAGGTGCCAGTGCAAACTTCATCATCAATTACCATGGGTTCCAGATCTAGAAACACTGCCCTGGGCACGTGCTTGCCGGAGCCCGTCTCACTGAAGAAGCTGTTGAAGGAGTCATCTCCTCCCCGAGTGGTCTTGTCACTTGGCATCTGGCCGTTGGGCTGGATGCCATGTTCCAGGCAGTAGGCCTCCCAGCAGGCATTGCCAACCTGGACATCAGCCTGGCCAATGTGATGGAGATGCACTCACGCATGATTGCTGCTTCGCGGCTGCTGAGCAGATGGTGGAGACAAGGAGGAGAGGTTGTTGCTTCTTACAGTGCGACTTTTAGGTGGTTGATGTAAGAGAACCTGCCTGTTATTTTCTTTCCTTCTTCTAAGGCAAGAGTGACATTTAAAAAAAAAACAAAAAAAACTTAACCTTCCTCTTGTCCCTAACAACTGCCACCTCTCACTTACCTCCAGTGCTGGGTAAATATTTAAAAATTATCAGATGGATTGCTTATTCTGTGTGAAGGGATCACTTACCAGGTATGAGAGGCTCCTAATAAAGGTTTCAAATCCACTGGAACGTTTTATGATGATAAAACTAAGAGCTTTTGTTCCACAACACTCTTTTCCTTATCCATGGCCATAGCCTTGAGGCCTGTTACCCTGATAGACTTTCTTGAGTTTTGCTCAAACAGAAAACGAGGTTTTTCTAACATCCGCTAAGGGCATCCACTCAAGTGTTCTCTGCTTCTTAGTGTGCACACTACATTAGAGCTGAATAAAGTTACAAGGCAGCAAAAGAGCAGTTTCTGCTTTGACTTACAAATATTTTTAATGCCCTAAAAATAAACCATGAGCTGCAAACGGATATGAGTGTTCCCGCACTGTTTCTTAAATTAGTGATTTCTGAGCAGATGAAGAATACATTTTGTTTTGCTGCTCAGGTCCACCTTCTTGTGATTCAATGCATGATTCCATTCAGTATCTTAATGCTATCCCTTTTGTTTGGAGGCAGGCATAGGTCCTCAGAGAAGATGGGAAGATTTATGTTTTGAGAATGAATTATAAATGAGATTAAAATTTTCATTGCAGAAACCCAAGTTTCTGCAATGTTTCTATTGGGACATGACTTCATTCTCTTCTTCAGATCTTTGAAATTCATGGTTTCACATGTTGTAATGTCTACTTAAATACACAGTTTTCACCTTCATGGAGCTAACAGTCAAGAAATCCAGGGCAACTGCCTTAACTTCAGATGGTTTTAGTTTTGGTTTTGGTTTTGGTATCTGTGAAAAGGGAATGACAATACCTCACTTTACAGAGCTGTCATGTTGTGTCATTCATTCATTCAGTCAGTCATGCACGCATTTAATGAGCACTGTTGCCTGTTGTAAAATAAGTAACATTTTATTACAAATATTATATTTTTTGATGTGGTTAATTTTAACAATTATTTTAAAAATTGTATTATAAGCAATTTTAGATATACACAAAAATTGTTTACAGGACATTACAACCCTCATGTACTCATCACCTAGTATAAAAAATTCCCAGCTCATGGCTAATCTTGTTTAATTTAAACTCCTATTGGCCAGGCATGGTGGTTCACGCCTGTATTCCCAGCACTTTGGGAAGCTGAAGTGGGCAGATCAACTGAGGTCAGGAGTTGAAGACCAGCCTGGCCAACATGGGGATGGGAATTTATTTTATTTTATTTTATTTTATTTATTGTGTATTATTTTGACACAGTCTTGCTCTGTCACCCAGGCTGGAGTGCAGTGGCGCAATCTTGGCTCACTGCAACCTCTGCTTCCTGGGTTCAAGCGATTCTCCTGCCTCAGCCTTCTGAGTAGTGGGGATTACAGGCATCTGCCATCACACCCAGCTAATTTTTGTATTTTTAGTAGAGACAGGGTTTCGCCATGTTGGCCAGGCTGGTCTCAAACTCCTGACCTCACATGATCTGCCCTCCTTGGTCTGCCAAACTGTTGGGATAACAGGCATGAGCCACCATGCCCGGCCTCCTATTTTAAAGCAAATTCCAGACATATTATTTTGTCTGACAATAATTTTTAAGGATTAATGTTTGATCCCATTCAAAGCTTAATGAAACATTTTTAATCATTTTAAACTGCATTTATAATTTGTTTCATTTCCTTTTAAAAAACTTTGATAACAAAAATGCTTCCAGAATACTAGTAATTCTTACAAATATAATGATTTAAACATATAGACAAGGGTGAACCTTAAGCTCTTTTAAATACATTTAATTCAGTGCTATTTTAAAACAACAAAACTTCAACTTAAAATCACAAATCTAAATTATCCGATTTTTCATTTTAAATTAGAGTCACAAAACTATTTTGTTACTTTAATATGCCAAGTTCTCTTCACATAACAAGTACATTGAAATACATATTTCATACAAGTTCATCAAGACAAAAATATTAATACCGGAGGGTTTGAGTCTCTTAAGCATTTCTGTTTTTAACACTAAATCTTTCCAAGGTTAAGAGATAATTGTTAAACTATTACTGTGTCATCCCAGACCCCACAGGTGGGTAGCTCCTACCTCATGTGCTGCATTGGTGGATTAAACTCAACTATCTATTTTCTGTTTCATTCTATACTGAATCATTTTCATAATCTTCCTGTTGGGACCTAAATTCTTACAGATGTTTGACAACTTTGTCCACCTCTGAGGTTAGAGTCATAAAGAAAATGTCAATGACAAAAATGTATTCAACAAGGATGAATTAGATGGTTAAATAAACTTGGGGAACGCTGAATTAAACAGACATTTGTTTGTGCATGTGGTTTTAAAACTACAAGACTGTAAGGTACTAATGCAAATATCTAAGAGGGGTATAATGTGCAGCAGTTCCAGATGTATTTGACTATGGACCTATGAACTATTCCCTCCCCATCTTTTTTTTTTTTTTGGATGATTCTCCCATGAAACCTAGAACAGAGCCTGGAAATGACCAACCTAGAGGCCAAATCCAGCCTGACACTTCAGTTTCACTTGGCCAGTGTTTTGAAAGTATTTAATCTACACTTTAAAAATTGACAGTTGATGGGCATGGTTGCTCATGCCTATAATCCCAGCCACTTTGGGAGGCCAAGGCGGGTGGATTACTTGAGACCAGGAGTTGCAGACCAGCCTGGGCAACATGGCAAAACCCTGTCTTTACAAAAAATAACAGTCATGGTAGTGTATACCAGTAGTCCCAGCTACGCAGGAGGCTGAGGTGGGAGAAACACCTGAGCAATGGATGTCAAGGCTGCAGTGAGCTGTGATTGCAGCACTGCACTCCAACTTGGGTGACAAAGTGAAATCCTGTGTCAAACAAAAAACAAAACAAAATTTGAAAACCACCAAAAAAACATAAACATACAAAAAATTGAGTTACCAGGCATGGTGGGTGGATTGCACCTCTAATCCTAGCTACAGGGAGGCTGAGGCAGAAGGATTTCTTGAGACCAAGAGTTCAAGACCAGCCTGGGCAACATAGTGAGACCCTGCCTCTAAATAAAAAAACAACTGGGAAATAAAAATTTAAGCGAGTTTACCAAAAAATTCTTAATTGCCAGTTTCTTTTCAAGAATTACAAGATCTGGCAAAAGTAAATCTGCATTTTGGCATGGCTGCCCTGGCTAGAGCTGAGCAAGGGCTGCCTTACCACACCAGGCATAGGCACTGCACTTGGTCACTGACAGAACTCCTGCACTGTTCTCCTAGGCATTTGAGTCTGTGGCGTTGATGGCAAAGGGATCCTCAAGTGCGGTAGAAGTATATATGGGAAGAGCTGACGTAAACCCATCAGACTAGATGGACTGTCCCTGGATGCTGGGTGCGAACTGGATGGGGGTAGACCTGGGCTGAGGGCCTCCCTCTGAGACCAAGTAGGGGAGAGATGGTGTCACAGAGCAGAACTGCTGTCCTAGAAACCAGCCCACACTGACTGCTTTTCCATTTGCTTTGGAATTTCCCCCACTGCACCGCATGGTAATCTTGACATGTGTGTTGAGAAATAAAGAGCTGAGGTAAAAGCAAAGATGATGCAAATGATTTCAAAATGGTAAAATAAACTTTCAAATGAGATGAATTTGCTAATTATTCTCCCTGAAGGTGCACCTGCCCAAGAAAGATTATAACTGAGGACTGGCTGTCTTGAACCTTGTTGCCACACACAGAGAAAACCCAGCTTTTCTTTCAAGGAAACCAATGCCTGACCTTGCCAACCAATGAAAAGGTTGCCTAAGAGCCTTGCCCAGAAGTTTTATCAGTTAAACTCAGACAGAGAGAACAAAGGTGAGATGGTTTTCATTGATACTATTTTTACAGTGGGTTATAAGTCAAGAAAATGAATTACCAAGTAAGCTCTGTTTTCTTTCATCTTATTTAAAGGATTGCTATATAGCAACAGCAAGCTAATAATTAAGGACCATTTTACCTCCTCCAGAGGCTTTGATCTGCAGTGATGTGACTCCATAATTTGGTCTGGTTGAGTTTCTAAGCTCTCATTAATGTCCATAAAAATCGGGCAAATTCTAAAGGGCAAAAGGCAAAAGAACAACAACAAAAAACTTACTTACATCTGAAATTTGGTTTTCAACTAGGTACGTGTGATCACTTCCATTATTTGCTTTGCTTTTAACATGATGAAGCTTAATGTTTTGGACTCTACTAGAAAGTAGTCAAAAATATATACTATTTAGAGCAACCCCACAACCTGTGCTCAGAACTCCTATTTCTAGATTTCTAAGGAAAATCTTTAGGAAAAAAATTATGCAAAATAAGAATGAATTTTTAAATACCCATAGATGCACACACCCAAACAGGATTTATCTTTTCTTTGAGCTTTTTTCCTTCTACTTTTTTATTCCATTAGAATGTGTGAGAATTCAGAATTTTTTCTCACTGTACTATTTTTTAAATTTCTGAGATTCGCTGGCAATTCAGGTACAATAGAAACAATATGTTTTACTTTATTGGGAGCATAATAGTGTAATGGGAAATTCTAATAATTAGATGTTGGACTTTCTGAATTGATTACCCAGTTTTCGTGTCTTCTATATTGCTTATCTTTTCTAGATTTTTCTTTCACAATTCTTCAATTTAATTCTTTAATTTCCAAGACAGCTCTACAGCTCTTTCTTGTTGTCTGAATTGTCTTTAAATTTTTTTTTTTTTTTTAAGCATTTGTTCTGGTTTTATGGGTCCAATACCTTATCTTTTATCTTCTGCTTCCTCATGGCTCTCCATTTCCTTCAAGTTCCTTTTTGTTGTAGAGGTTGTTGTTTAGGTTGAGCAGGGTTTCTTTCTCTCATTTTGAAGCCTTTCCTCAGATGTCTCATGCCTCTTGACTGAACATTTATTCATTCATTCATTCTAAGCAGAAGGCACTGAAACTTGGTTGGAAGCTCCCTGCGTGTGCATGAAACTGGCACCTGGAGGATTGTGCCGTAGATGGCTATGTGGCTTTTTTGATGGAGAACTTTCAAACGTAGGTTTCAGAAAGTCTTTTCTCTTGAGTTAGTCTATCCAAAAGAGGAGTAGCCAGCCTCGAGGTTTTTATGCTTGTTTTCCTCCATTCTGGAAGCCGAGAGTGCAAGGAGAAGAGAATGAGGGATTCTACAACACAGACTTTTTTTTTTTTTTTATGTTCAGTAAAGATGCAATTTTATTTCTTTTTTTTTTTTTGTGACTAGAAGTCTGAATTTTTTTTTTTATTGTTATTATACTTTAAGTTCTAGGGTACATGTGCATAACGTGCAGGTTTGTACCACACAGACTTTTGCCTAATCATCTGACCTGTGCCTTGTGTTCCTGAGCTGGGGTGGGGTAGAGAAAGTAACAACCTATCTTTGAGGAGGGAAAGGCTGGTGGGGGCGGGGGGGGAGGGTCTCACTGCTCTACCTTCAAACAATTTCCATGATTTTGATCCTGCTTTATTCTTCTAACCTTTGAGGTACTTGGTCTCTTATAGTTTGAAGCCTTCTTGAGCACTCAGAAAGGTGAATCTCATTGGTATGCCCTTATGTATGAATTTAGGTTGCAGTTTTCTTCCTTGTCTTTGCAAATTGCTTATCATTAATTTTCTTTCCATCTCTCCATCTCCCCCAAAACGTATTGACATTTCTCTGCTGCTATCTCATCTCTTATTTTTATTTATTTTTTTAAGTTGGAGTTTCACTCTTGTTGCCCAGGCTGGAGTGCAATGGCACAATCTTGGCTCACTACAACCTCCACTTCCCGGGTTCAAGCGATTTTCCTGCCTCAGCCTTCTGAGTAGCTGGAATTACAGGCGCCCGCCACCATGCCGGGCTAATTTTTTTGTATTTTTAGTAGAGTCGGAGTTTCACTGTGTTGGCCAAGCTGGTCTCGAACTCCTGACCTCATGATCCGTCTGCCTCGGCCTCCCAAAGTGTTGGGATTACAGGCGTGAGCCACTGCGCCTGGCTTTTTTTTTTTTGAGATGGAATTTCACTCTTGTTGCCCAGGCTAGAGTACAATGGCGCAATCTTGGCTCACCACAACCTCTGCCTCCTAGGTTCAAGTGATTCTCCTGCCTCAGCCTTCTAAGTAGCTGGAATTACAAGCATGCGCCACATGCTCGGCTAATTTTTTGTATTTTTAGTAGAGACGGGGTTTCACCATGTTGGTCAGGCTGGTCTTGAACTCCTGACAGGTCATCCACCGTGCCTGGCCTCCTCTCTTATTCTTTTTATCCTCATGGGTTTGTACCTTTCCTCCTCTTATTTTGTCATTTTTAGGTTTTTTGGTTTTTGGAATAAAGTAGAAATAAATGAGATCATTAAATTTATATTTCACCAGAAGTCCTGAATTATCTTTTTATTTTAAAAGCAATCCATTAGATATTAGAGAATCAGGTATGATAATTTCCCTGTGTAACCAAAAGTAAAGCAAACTTATTGTACACCAACTATGTAAGGTGGCAACACATTAAATGTTTTTAATTGCTTCCTTTTTCTTTTCTTTTTTTCTTTCTTCTTTGAGACAGAGTCTTGCTCTGTTGCCTAGGCTGAAGTGCAGTGGTGTGATCTTGGCTCACTGCAGTCTTGACTTCCCAGGTTCAAGTGATTCTCCCACTTTGGCCTCTTGAGTACCTGGGACTATAGGTGTGTGCCACTCAGCTAATTTTCTTTGGTTTTTTTTTTTTTTTGGAGAGATGGGGTCTCACTGTGTTGCCCAGACTGGTCTTGAGCTCCTGGACTCAAGCCATTCTCCCGTCTCGGCCTCCCAAAGTGCTGGGATTATAGGTGTGAGCCACCACACCCAGCCTGTTTTCTTTTTAAAGGTAAATATACGCACATGAAAAAAATGTAAATCATATGAAAAAGTAAGCAGTAAAAAGTATATGTTTTTTTGCACTCCATTCCCCTGTCCAACAAGTCCCTTCACCAAATGCAATAACTCTACCTGTTTTTAGGGATTCCCTCCGCTGTCTTACACTTTTTTTTTTTTTTTTGAGATGGAGTCGCTGTCGCCCAGCCTGGAGTGCAGTGGCGTGATCTTAGCTCACTGCAACCTCCGCCTCCTGGGCTCAAGCGATTCTCCTGCCTCAGTAGCTGGGATTACAGGTGTGTGCCACCATGCCCAGCTAATTTCTTTGTATTTTTAGTGGAAACGGGGTTTCACCATGTTGGTCAGGTTAGTCTCAAACTCCTGAGCTCAAATGATCCACCCACCTCAGCCTCCCAAAGTGCTGGTATTACAGCCATGAGCCACCGCAACTGGCCCTTTCTTATACTCCTGATTATCATTTTATACACACTCTTCCCACCTCTTAACTGTATATCTTGGATACTGTAACTCATTCTTTTTCACATCCATCTTTATGTCAGAAATACACATCTTTGCATATGTGTGCAAAGAAAAATTCTAGAAGTAGAATTGTTGAAGCAAAGAACACATACACTTGTAATTAATAGTTATAGCCAAATTTCCTTCCAAGCAATTGTACCAATTTATACTTCCAGTAACAATGAATGAGAATTCCTGTTTCCTCATACTATCTCTCACCAGTGCACTATCAAAATTTTTTTGCAGCTTTCAAATTTAATATGTGAAAAATCTAGTTTCAGTGTAGTTTATGGGTATTTCTTTAATTATAGGGTTGAGTATGTTTTTATATATTATGGAATCATTTGTATTTTCTGTGAAATGTCTGCTCATGTTCTTTATCATTTTTCTTTTTTGGGAGGATATTGGTATTTTTCTTTTCTTTTTTTTGAGACGGAGTCTCGCTCTGCCTTTAGGTTGGAGTGCAGTTGTGCTATCTCGGCATTCGGCACTGTCTCGCCTCCGCCTCCTGGGTTCAAGTGATTCTCCTGCCTCAGCCTCTTGAGTAGCTGGGACTACAGGTGTGCACCACCACGCCCAAAATATAATATTTTGTATTTTTAGTAGAGATGAGGTTTCACCATATTGGCCAGGGTGGTCTCGATCTCTTGACTTCGTGATCCCCCACCTCAGCCTCCCAAAGTGCTGGGATTACAGGTGCGAGCCACCACGCCTGGCTGGATATTGGTATTTTAAAAATCAATTTCTAAAATTCTTTATTTAGAAAATTGTTTATTTTTTATTTGTTTATTATATTTGTTGGAAAGCTTTCCCTGTAAGGTTATCATTTGATTTTTGCCTGTTTGTTTATGATACTTTTGGGCAAACAGAAAATTACAGCTTTATGTAGTCAAATTCAATGTTTTCTTTTACGGCCTTCGCTGAGATCATAAAAAAAATTCTGATTTTTTTCTAGTATTTCATTTTTTTGTTTATTTTACATTTACTTAGATGATTTATTTGGAACTTATTTTGAAGTAGGAGTGAGATAGGCATTTGGCTTTTCCCCCAATTGGTTTGCTAGCTGTCCCAAGTTGCAATTCATCCTCAATGCAAACCACAGCAACATCTGTAAAAGTGTAACAAAAACACTTTATCTGATCTAAATGGAAGATTAACTGTCTCCTCGACCACTAAAGCAAGACAATTGGTTCAAGACCGTTTTGCAAGAAGTTTCATTTGTAGGTGCAGGGTACGTAATTCAAGACAGAGACCGATCATATTTGGCAATTGTATCTGAGCCCTCCCTCTCTGTTGAATTGGGAAGGGAGGGAGAGGAATTCCTGGGAGGCACCTGAAGTCTCAAACTCTACTGTAAATCCCAGGGCCTGAATAGAGCTCAGGATATAGAGCCCAAATCAGGAAAGTTGGGGAACAGGAAAGCAGAGAAAAAGCCCTGAACCAGCAGCTGGGCAGGAGATGGAGGGGAGCAGATGCAGAGGGAGGCAGGAGGCCCGGGCGCCTGTGGGGAGCTGATTCTTCCAAAGTGGCAGGGATGGGGGAGACTTGCATTTCTAACCAGGTGTGTCACAATTCTCAGGGGGATGATGGACTTTGGACTAAGCTTTTACCTCCACAAGAAGATGGGGCCAGGAATTCTAATAGCTAGTAAAGGGTAGCCCAAATCTTAGAAATAGGGACTGAAATAAGCTGTCTGAGACGATTAAATTCTGGGATAGTGTTAGTAGTTAAAAAATAAAAATATTTGCCTCTACTAACTCATACCTAAGTGTAATGGTGGGTTAGGTGGTAAATTAGTTCATTCCTTCTTCAACAAACTTTTATCAGCTACTGTGCAGAACTCCCAGAGACAGAGGGAAGAGTAAAGCACAGGTTCCTGCTCACCTGGTGCCTTTTTCTTTTTGTTTTTGAGACAGAGTTTCACTCTTGTTGCCCAGACTGGAGTGCAATGGCACGATCTCAGCTCACTGCAACGTCTGCCTCCCGGGTTCCAGCAATTCTCCTGCCTCAGCCTCCTGAGTAGCTGGGATTACAGGTGTGTGCCACCATGCCCGGATAATTTATGTATTTTTAGTACAGATAGGGTTCCTCCATGTTGTCCAGGCTGGTCTCAAACTCCTGACCTCAGGTGATCCACCCGCCTTGGGCTCCCAAAGTGTTGGGATTACAGGTGTGAGCCACTGTACCTGGCGCCCTCCTGGTGCTTTTTTGTGGTCCAAGTACATTAGTAACAAGCACAGCATGGTAATGAGGACACAAAGCCAGTAAGTTCTTCACAGAGTCTGTTAGAACACAAAGTGATCAAGTACTACATTCTATGGAAAATCCATATTTTCTTTTGCCTTAGGTTAAGCTAAAGTTTCTTGCAGAATTACTACTTCATTCTAGTCTGTCATAAGCTGCATGGTGTTCTTCTGCCAGGAATCTGGGGAGATCTAGTGCCACTTGGCCTTCACAGAGATTCTTAACCACCTGATGGGTTTCAGAATGTCATCTTAAAATCGGATGCAAATTGTATGGGTGAGGATTATTTTTTTTCCCTGGGGATAGAGTCACAGGTTTTGTTAGCATCTCAAAGGAGTCTGTGACCTCAGGATGATTAAGAATCAGTGATTTTGGCTAAGTACGGTGGTTCACACCTGTAATCCCCACACTTTGGGAGGTAGACGTCGGTAAAGAAAATAAAGAAGAATCAGTGACTTAGATTTTCTTCACTCTAATTAAGAACCTTTACCTTTTCTGTTTTGTTTTGTTTTTTTTTGAGACAGGGTCCGGCTTTGTCGTCCAGGCTGGAGTACAGTGGCTTGATGTCAGCTCACTGCAACCTCTACTTCCTGGGCTCAAGCCATCCTCCCACCTCAGTCTGTAGGTGTAGCTGAGACTACAGGCACACACCCTGCTAAGGGGTATACCACCACAGCCTGCTAAGGGGACCTTTATCTTAAAAATGTTTTTAAAAAAACATCCTAACAGTCTCTAACCTAGAGATGTGCTTAGTTACTGATACCTGGTCCCTTTTAAGCCTATGTTCTTCATCCTTCTTCCAGATTCCTTTCTCCCTATCCAGAAATAGGAGCAGTACTGGGCATCAACCTCCTCTTTACTTCCCTTATTTATGTTTATTTGGCAACCCCCTACTTAATCTTAAGTATAAAGTTAGGAAGCCTTATTTATGCTTAATTGTAATAATGTGATATTATTGAGCAGAGTTGGAAATCCATACATCCAAGGCAGTCTTTCACATTTTCAGTCAAATTTTTGGTTTGGAATGCTCAACTCCAAAAATCAAGTTTAACACACATTTTCTTAGTAAACACTTTTATATGTAAGAACTTATGCTCCATTTTGAAGGAGAGAGGAGGAGAGCAAGACATACATATGAGTCAAAACCAGTTCCCACCTTCATTGAGATGGGACATTTTGGAAAATGCACGAAGTGCTGTGGGAATTCAGAGAGGAAGAGTGTATTTCCTGCTGGAGAGTGCAGAAAAAAAATCCGGAAGACATCGTAGCTGGGCAGCATTTCTTATCACCAGCAATGCTGTAAACCCTCCTTTTCCACATCTTCAAAATAAGGTGCTGGGCCTAGACACTGACACCTGCTCAGAAAAATTCAAAAAGTAAATGTAAGAGGAAAAATCAGCCTTTATCATAGAATGACATAGAAAGAAAGAATGGAAGCAACTAGTGTAGGACAGGTTGTACAAGAACAGAAAGTAGTAAAGGAGATAAAATATTACTATTTGAATACATATGAGAAATTTTGAAAACAAATAGTAATCCAGAATCTTTGTCATCATTGCTATCATATTACTTTTAAAATTTGGTTTTAAAGCAACACAAGGCAATATGCATATTTTCTTCAACTTTAAGAAATAGAAAAATTGTTTTGCTGGAAATATGTACAGACCCTAGGGGCTTTTCTAAAATGTAGGTTGAGAGGTATGTGTATATACTCTTTTCTTCTTACTAGAGCACGTGTAATCAAGCATCTACTACTGATATGAGTCATAACTTAAATTTGTGGAGTACTTTTAGATCAATGCTTACAAAGCAGTTTCACATTCATTATAAATCCTGTACAGTACATTAGCATAGGCTAATAATTTTCTTACTCTTTATTCTTAGGTTGAACCAGCCAAATTTTCGAGACAGCTCACGGCTTAGAGGAAGGCTCATCTAAATAAAGGCCAGCTAAAGTGACATTGCAGGGATTAAATCCTTCTCTGGCTGCCTGTGTGACCAGAAGGCTTATTTGCAAGTTTCTTCTTTCCCGGGGTTCAGATTATTAGGTCTCCAGGGCCCTGCGGCTTGACAGCAAGAGAAGCACGAAATGAAGGTCAGAGATGAGCTCCCGCAGCAGGGTCTTGAGGTCCTCCCAGGGGCATTTACACACCAGAGTGCAAGATTCTCTGGCCATCAAGGGGAATAGCAAACAGAAGCCTTTGTCCTGGGGCACAGCCACCTACCACAAAGCATCAGACTCCACGTCTGGCCAGAAAGTTCCTGGAGTCCCATCAGGGCAGTGGGTATGTAACGTGTGCCTAATTGTACAGCTAGAGCTTGCAAGTTCAATGTGAGGGAAGGTGGGAAATGACTTGAGTGAGGTGAGCAGCTCCTGGCTGGGCTGGGCAGACTCAGCTACCACCTTCACTGCCCTCCTCTCACTAAACCCGAGAGGGCGGCTGCTCAGCTCTCAGGAAAACTCTCTTGAACCCTGGGCACCTGCTGTCCTCAGTTGGCATCTCCCACCCTCTGAGCCTCTTCTGCTCCTGCACAACCTGCCCTTGATCGGTGGCTCTTTGCTGAGATGGAGACGTGAGCCACCGTGGACGATGACTGCAGTGTATACAAATGGAGGCGGCCTGGTGAACCCCCACTATGCCCGGTGGGATCGGCGCGACAGCGTAGAAAGTGGCTGTCAGGCCGAGAGCAGCAAGGAGGGCGAGGAAGGACAGCCCCGCCAGCTGACGCCCTTCGAGAAACTGACACAGGACATGTCCCAAGATGAGAAGGTGGTGAGGGAGATCACTCTGGGGAAACGGATAGGCTTCTACCGAATTCGAGGGGAAATCGGAAGTGGCAACTTCTCCCAAGTGAAGCTCGGGATTCACTCCCTAACCAAAGGTAGGATCCGACTTCCCAAGGGTCATCCCTGGCGGTATTGGGACCTAGTGTAGGTGCAGGGTTAGGTGGCCAGGGCTAAGGAAGCAAGTAAAGTGACCTCAGCGGAGCCCCTGCAAGGCTCACATCCTGTGCCAGCCGCCTTCTGTGATCTTCTCAGTTAATTTCCACAGTAAACATGTGAGGTCAGTATTTTTTTTCCATTTTGCAGATAGAGAAATTGAGATCCAAAGAAGGTAAATGTATCTTCAGTTCAATCATAGAGGTTTTTGACTCCAAACACCCTTCCACCATACTATGCATATAAACCCACTCAAACATGAGAAGAATCTCTCCTCTCTGGTGAGGCCTTCGAGAAGTGGAGTGGAGTATGGCTTGGAAACAAGCCACCTCATCTCCCAAGCCCATATTTACAGTTTCCATTTATATTTGTGTCTCAGTGACAATGGCACAGTGCAGCACAGGAGACCCTCCGGATGGGCACTGTCTCTGGAGAGCGGGGTCCAGTTTCCCTTCCATTCGGATGCTGCTACTTCTGTCATATTTGAGAGAAAGGGATTTGATCTCAGGACCTTTTCTGTTCAGTCCACCCTGTCCTAGCTCTCATTGTTTGGCTCCTCACTCCACATTTGCTTGGCTACCGGACACTCTGAGATTCTGGACTAGCAGTGCCCAGCACTTTGGCCTCAGGGAGAAACCATATGGAGAGCCCAGCACCCTTCTGCTGCTCCGACCCCACTGTGGGCACTTCCCCAACTTAGCAGAAGTCTGGGGATTATCATAAGGGACTTACAAGACAGAAAAAGAACACTTTATGACTTGGCATAATTTACTGAGTCCTAAAACCCATGGACTCTACCGTCTCCCGAGAGTCCCTGATTTACATTTTCTCTGCTTGGACTCAGTCAGCCACCATGTCTCCAAAACCTCTCTTTTCTTATATTAGAGTTGTCTTTTGCTTCCTTTTCTTCTCCAACCCTCAATCCCATGCCCCTCCAATCCCTTTGGTTGGCCTTTATAGAAAAAGCTCCACACATGTGTGCATACATGTACCTCCCCCTGGCAACTGACCCACACACTCCCAAGTCACTGGAGTTTCACATCTTCTGTACTCTTGTTCTGAAGCCTGTGTATCTGGGTTCATGTCTTCACATCTTGGCTACTCTACTTACTCGTCTGGGTAAATTACAGTACTTGTCTGAGCCTTAGATACCTCACTTATAAAATGTAGCCAATAACCGTGCTTACTTCATAGGGTATCATAAGGATTAATAAGTGCTCAACAAATGTTAGTTAGTGGCATCATTTTGCAGTTGCTTAATAAGCCTTGCCTTGCCTTTGTGCAACCGAAGATCAACTAAAGTATCTTTATCAGAAGTTCATTCCTGCCCATCCCAATACACAAATTGAGATCAATGCAGCTGCCATGCCCTACAGCCATAGTTTTCAACTGACTGCACGTTAGAATCACCTGGGAAGGTTTAAAAGAGAATTAGTGCCCAGAACTCACCCTCAGAGCTTCTGATGTGATTGGTCTGGAGTGGGACTGGGCATGGGTAGTATTTGAAAACTCTCCAGGTGATTCTAACTAACATGTAGCACTAAGAAATACTTGCCTACAGCAACTTGCACATACTGCAGACAGCTTTTAAAATAGTACTTTCTTGGTAGTTGCCACAAATGGATAATCCAAGTATTATTTGTATTTTAAAATCATTATGAGGTATTGTGTCAGGTTTCCATGCCATGTTTAACTTTCAAATTTCATTTCACTTGAGAGAATATTCATTTATTATTCATTTAGGTGAACAATAGAAGCACTATATTAGGCCTTGGGGGATATAAAGATGAAATAGATACAGCCTTTATCCTCCAGGATAAGGGAAAAGAAGAGGTGTACAAATAAGTATAATACAAACCAGAATTTGAAAAACATAGAAGAGAAAAGCTATGAACTTAGAGGAAGGAAAGAGACTCTTCCACCTTAGGAATACGGTGAAAGGCTTTAAGTGAAGATCAAATTTGAGCTACACCTCAATGAAGGATAAGATTTTGGATAGGAAGTGACTATAGGACAGAGGAGGGTTAGGGGTTAGCTAGAGGAGAATGTGAATAAACGCATTAATGTAGGGAAATGACATATATAGTACAGTTACCCTAACAGTAGGGGAAGTAGGGTAAAGGGCTGGAAAACTTAGCTGTGGCTGAATCATAGGGGACTTTGAACATTATCCAAGGATTTTGGATTGTTTTTCTTACAATGAAGACTTTAAAATTTTTGTGATTAGAATTGGGCTTTTGGAAGGTTAACCATATAGTGAGGAGAATGAAGGCTGAAAAACAAGAGATGCAGGAGACAGGGAGCTATCAGGAATCTATGGTGATGGTCCAGCCACAGGGAAGAATATCCTGAGCTAGGTGAATGTCAGTCAAAATAGAAAAGAGGAAGGAGCTGGCCATGCCAAAGAGAAGAATCTGGAGGATTGGTGTGTTAGTCAGTGTTTTCCAGAGAAACAGTACCAACAGAAAAGAGAGAGAGGCGGAGGGAGAGAGAGAGAGAGAAAGAGAGATTAAGAGAGAGAGAGAGAGATTGAGAAAGAGAGAGACATTTACAAGGAACTGGCTCACACAATTATGGAGACTGCCCCCAAGATCCACAGTCAGCAAGCTGGAGGCGCAGGAGAGCCAGAGGTGTAAGTTCCAGTCTGAAAACCAACAGACTTAAGACCTAGGAAGAGTCACGTTCAGCTTGAGTCTGAAGGCCAAAAAAGACCAATGTCCCAGGTAAAGGCAGTGAGGCAGAAGCAGTTCCCACTTACTCAGTCTTTTTTTTTTTTTTTTAATTAATTGTTTAATTAATTATTTTTGAGACTGAGTCTCGCTTAGGCTGGAGTGCCTATCCTCCACCTCCCAGGTTCAAGTGATTCTCCTGCCTCATCCTGAGTAGCTGGGATTACAGACATGAGCCAACTTGCCCAGCTAATTTTTTATTATTTATTTATTTGAGACAGAGTCTCGCTCTGTTGCCCAGGCTGGAGTGCAGTGGCGAGATCTCGGCTCACTGCAAGCTGTGCCTCCCAGGTTCACGCCATTCTCCTGCCTCAGCCTTGCGAGGAGCTGGGACTACAGGCGCCCGCCACCACGCCAGGCTAATTTTTTGTATTTTTAGTAGAGACAGGGTTTCACTGTGTTAGCCAGGATGGTCTCAATTGCCTGACCTCGTGATCTGCCCGCCTCAGCCTCCCAAAGTGCTGGGATTACAGGCGAGCCACCGTGCCCGGCCCTTACTTAGTCTTTTTGTTCTATTCAGGTCTTCAACTGAGAAAACACCTACACAGACACACCCATAATAATGTTTAACGAAATGTCTGGGCACTACGTGGTCCAGTCAATTTGACACATAAAATAAACCATCACAGTTGGTAACTGATTGGATGTAGAACTGAAGATGGAAGGATGGAAGAAGGCAATGACCTTGCTTTAGTTGACTGTGTGAACCAAAACAAGGGTGATGCCTTTAATAGGAATAGGAGAGAGAGCAGATTTGGGAGGGAAAAAGATGACTGAAAACACTGACATCCAGAAGGAGCTGTCTACTGGGCATGCTCCAGTCGCGGACATTGGCATGAGGTCAGAACAGGATTTGCATTAAGATGATTGTGGAAATGGATGCAATCACTGAAGGAGACTGTGGAGAAGGGTGACGAGCAACCTTTTTACCCTTAGTAGCTAGTTCTACATCCTAGTTGACATTTTATATATGGATTTTTGTTTTTGGTTTTGTGTTTTTTTTTTTGAGATGGAGTCTGGCTCTGTCGCCCCTGCTGGAGTGCATATACGAGCAATCTCAGCTCACTGCAAGCTCTGCCTCCCAGATTCACGCCATTCTCCTGCCTCAGCCTCCTGAGGAGCTGGGACTACATGCACCCACCACCACGCCCGGCTAAGTTTTTGTATTTTTAGCAGAGACGGGGTTTCACCATGTTAGCCAGGATGGTCTCGATCTCCTGACCTCGTGATCTGCCCGCCTTGGCCTCCCAAAGTGTTGGGATTACAGGGGTGAGCCACCGCGCCCGGCCGGATTAGTTTTAAATATGCTAATGGAATAATTCACTGTTGCTTCATGAACACTATGATTTTTCAATGTCATTATAGATATTTTTTGATATCTGTATATATGTGTATATATTATCCATGTATGTGTATTTATTATCTATACTCTCATCTTTTAAAGAGGATATATTGTTTCACATATAGCTGCAGCATAAATTCTTTAACTTAGCCACTATTGGTTAACATTTGGACCATTTCTACAGTTTTGCTGTTAGTTATAATGCTACAGAGATTATTCTTTTCTATACTTCTTTGCATATACGTATGTTTTCTCTCAGCATACATTCCTAGAAGTTAGCTGTCTTGGTCAGAGGGCGTGCATTGAAAAATTTTAACACATAGCACCCAAAGAGCAGCTTTTGAATCCTTACTCATAGAGTACATCTATCTGCAATTCAAATCTCATACGGACTAATGTTGCTTTTCAGTAGTCTAGAGCCAGCATGAAAGACAAGATAAAACACATAGGGCGATGAAAGGCCAAAAATCGAGACAGAAGATGTGATTTGGAAGATTACAAGAGAAGTTGGATAAAGCCAAACAAGGAGAGTAATTTAGAAAAAAGTGTCCAATGCTGCAGAAGGGTCACAGAGCTACAGTCTGAGCAAAGCCTACTGCACAAGTGTGGGTTTAGATGTTAGATTCCAATAGAAGGGAAGCAGGATGGGACAGTAGGAAAAGTGTGGACTTGGGGACCAGACAAATTTATCTGGAATACTCATTCAGTAACTTATAGGCTTCTGACTCTAGGCATATTAATCTCTTTGGTCCTCAGTTGCCTCAGCTGTAAAATAGAGATAAAGGTTTTTAGAATTGTTGGGGAAATTGGAAATAATATATGTGAAGTACATGACATATATACCACATATGTACCACTCAAAATGGTAGCT